ACTGAGAGAGGAAACTAGTTTTTGTTGGAGGGTTGTTTTGTTTTGTTTTGTTTTTTCCCTTTCTTAGAAAGACACACACACACATACACCTCCCGGTCATAAGAGGTCAGTCACAACCATATACAAATAAGGGCAACACACCGGGCGGTGGTGGCGCAAGCCTTTAATCCCAGCACTCGGGAGGCAGAGGCAGGCGGATCGCTATGAGTTCAAGGCCGGGCTGGACCGACAGCCTCCAAAACAATACAGAGAAACCCTGTCTCGTAAAATAAAACAAAACAAAACAAAACACAAATAAGGGCAACACTAGTTGAATTCAGAAAGGGTGGGGGTGAATCAAAAATAAATACAGAATAAAAGATTATGAATTTGAGGGGAGTAGTGAGGGACACAGAGTTGGGGGAGATAAAAAAAAAGATGAAACTACAATATATTGTTGCACCCTTCCCCCATGGGGGTCTGCTGACTAGCTTGTGACCAAGAGCTTCTAGCAAAATACCTCTTGTCTCCTCCTCCCAGTATAGCCTGAATGCAAGTTCCTGTTTTCCACCCATCCTTATTGTCTAAGTTCAAGTTCCTGTTGTCTGCCCATCCTTTGCCAGAGGGCCCTGGGAACGTGAGCTCCTGACACTGGTAGTTTTCCACCGAGCCTGCTACTGGTATTTAACACTCTACTCTTGTTACAATAAATGTCATTCTCCTTGCAAGAATGAGCCACTGTCTTTGTCTTCATTTACATCCTTAGCCCTTGGCCCGCCCGGGTCATTGAGAAGTGTTGTAGCCCGGTAGCCAAAACGATCGCTACAATATACTTCTGTATGAAATCCTCAAATAAAAGAAAAAGTAGGGTTCCTTTCTCTCCAGTGGCTTCTACCATGTGACATGGATCCTTGCAAAGTAATCACAAGGACATTCCAAATCCATACTCACTCCAAGTAGCTGCCAATGATGAGATAATTAAGATTATAATGACCATCGCATAAGGCTCATTAAGTTCTTTGGTACTAACAAGGGGTCCTCACCCTCATAAAGAATGAGGAGCATTATTAGTCTGTGTTGGATGCCTAAGACTTTATTACATTTCATTTATTTATTTGAGGGGAGTTGGGAGTATGTGTGTACCCCACAGTGGACCCGGGAATTTAACTATGTTCATCAGGTTTGGCAGCAGGTCCTTTACCCTCTGAGTCGTCTTGCTGCCCTAACTCCCAAGTAGGCTCATCCTCCTTTGGAGGATGTAAATACAAGCTTTCAGTGTCAGGATGGCTTTGAACATCTAACTTCTCATTTTAAAAGCCTATAGTATAGGTTTTGTGAGATTTGGCTGGAGTCTCAACTCCTCCACACGATGCTGTATATACTCATCTACAGGAACTGTCAATCAAACTTCTCAATCCCAGCATGGAAGCACACACTTGTAATGTCAGCTGTTATGAGGCTGAGACAAGAGAAATGACACAAATTTGAAGATATTCTGTGTTGGACCCATCCCCCACTGGGGTCTGCTGACCAGCTGTGACTAGGAGCTTTTAGCAATTACCTCTCATCCCCTCCTTCCAATAAAGCCTGTATGCAAGTTCCTGTTTTCTGTCCATCCTTGTTGTCTGAATTCCTGTTATCCACTCATCCTTATTGTTGGAGGGCCCTGGGAATGTGAGCTTCTGACCTTGCTAGTTTTCCACTGTGCCTGCTTATTGGTGTTGAATGCTCCACTCTTGTTACAATAAATGCCATTCTCCTTGCAAGAATTAGCTGCTGTCTTTTGTCTTCATTTAAATCCTCAGGCCCTCACCTGGATCACTGAGAAGTGTAGCACCAGTACGGGCGCTACAATTCTGGGTTACTGATAAACACCAAGTCTAGCCTTGGCTACATAGCAAAACCTTAGCTCATAAAAGAAAAGAGAAGAGGGCTTTCAAGATGGCTCAGTGAGCAAGGGCAAAACTGACTGCTTGAATACAACTCTTTGGATCTGTGATGTCTGCTCCACAAACAAGTCCAAGATATCGGGAAATGAAAGACAAGACGTCCAACCATTTGTGCTAAGAGAATGTGTCTGCCACCTTTTTTGCCAGGAGAATGTGTGTTTGTGTGTGTGTGTGTGTGTGTGTGTGTGTGTGTGTGTGTGTGTGTGTGTGTGTGTGTGTGTGCCACACCTGTGTGTCTTTATTGCAAGTGCAAAGAGGTCTTGGTCAGTCTCTCTCTGTCTCTGTCTGTCTGTCTGTCTGTCTGTCTGTCTGTCTGTCTGTCTCTCTCTCTCTCTCTCTCTCTCTCGTAGAGAGGGAGCAGCCTTATATGCAGGCTTACAGGACAGTAGGAAAAACCCCAGGCAGAAGAGATGTGCTAGATGTTGATGTCAGTGGGACAAGGCAGGGGCAGTAAGCCAGGACTAGAAAACAGGATGCACTTAGACTGGAAAACAGGATGGACTTTATATATATAATAAATAAAATCCCAGCACTCAGGAGGCAGAGGCAGGTGGATCTCTGTGAGTTTGAGACCAGGCTGGTCTACAGAGTAAGTTGCAGGACAGCCTGGGGTACACAGAAAAGTCTTGTCTCAAAAAACAAAATTTAAAAAGAAGTACTCTCACTGAATACTTCTATGCAATTCTTTTGGGTTTTTTTTTTGTTGTTGTTGTTCATTATGTAACCCAGACTGGCTTAGAACTCACAGAGATCCACCAGCCTGGGCTTCCTGAGTGCTGAGATTAAAGGCTTGAGCCACCATTTGAAGCATGCAACTCTTTTAATCTTTTTAATTTTTTTTATTACATTTACTTGGTGTATTGTGTGAGTGTGTTTGTGCAAGCCTTGAGTGTGCATGCTCTGCAAGTCACTGTTACCACACTGTTGCTGTAAAGCACATCCAGAGCCCACCAGCTAACTTCTGATTGATTCCTTGCCACGTGGAGGGCATCTGACCTAGTGACTAGGGCAGGTTCAGCTAGATCAGAAGGCCAAAAACTAAGCAACATGAGCTGAGTCAGAGAGCTACATCTTGCTGGGTCTTTTCTTTTTTCTTTTTTTTTTTTTGGTTTTTCGAGACAGGGTTTCCCTGTGGCTTTGGAAGCTGTCCTGGAACTCGCTCGGTAGACCAGGCTGGTCTCGAACTCACAGAGATCTGCCTGCCTCTGCCTCCCGAGTGCTGGGATTAAAGGCGTGCGCCACCAACGCCCGGCTTTGCTGGGTCTTTTCTGCAGCCTGTCACGGCTGCTAAAGCAGGGGGCTGAGTGAGGATCTGCTCCCTTCAGGTGCACGTATTTATATCCGTGTATGCACAGATTTAGTATAAGGACATGAGTTCAGTCTCCAGAAACCAGCTAAAGGCTGAAGGTGGAAGGAAAGAATTGACTCCACTGACCTTTGACCACCACAAGCACACCCTGGCATGCATTTGCCCAACGCATCATACAGATACAAAATAAATAAATACATGCATTTTAAAATGCATATCCTGGCCAGGCGTTGGTGGCACACACCTTTAATCCCAGTACTTGGGAGGCAGAGGTAGGAGGATCTCTGTAAATTCGAGGCCAGTCTAGTCTACAAGAGCTAGTACCAGAACAGATAGGGCTGCTACACAGAAAAACCCTGGGGAGGCAGATAGTTAGAAACAAGCCTAAGCTAAGGCTGAACATTCATAACTAATAATTAGTCTCCATGTTGTTGTTTTGGTTTTTGGTTTTTGTTTTTCCTGAGCTAGCAGCCCAAAGAAAAATCTGCCTACATAGCTCATTTCTCTGAACCTTAGTTTCCTGGGCTCTAAAATAGAGATCCTATTTTCCTTACATAAACTGCTGCACACAGGCCTGACCAAAGACTGGGTTGATAGTGGCTGGAACTGTTCTTTCTCTTTATCTACCAAACTCCTATTATTAAAGACCACAGAGGAATTCCACCAGTGTGGCGCTGTAAGGCAAATGATTAAGGGTACTTCTTGTAGAAGTGCTAAGTCAGGTCAGGTCTGACTCCTTATCTAAGCCAATTAAAGTAATAAACAGAGGACTGTGGTGAGGGTTTTGGTCTGTGAGAAGGAAGTCATAATTTGGCCAGAATGGCTTAGGTTCAAAATAAAAATTTTAGTGAACATTTTTTTAAAGCAAGAGAAACTCGGGTCCCCCCCCAACACACACACACACACACACACACACACACACACACACACACACACACACACACAGGGCTTTCAAGCATCCTTGAAGTCAATAAAATTGTGACCCTGATACATTAAGAAAAATGCCCTAGAGCAGCCAAGAGTGAAAATAAACATGACTACGCAATAAATTAGGATCTCCTTCCCTCTCCTTCTGCCTCCCACATGCTTGACGTTTGCAAAGGAGTAAAAATACAGCTCATCCGTAGGCTATAGCGAGGCGAGGGGCCTGCTCCCCAACATCAGGACTCACACACACCTCCCCCAGGTGACTCTAGGCCCTTGCATCGGGGGCACCGGATAAATATGAGCTGATACAGATGGAGTGAACAGACATCTGCAGCCCGCGTCTAGCCTGCAAGGGACAGAGAGTGAGTGAGTGGGAGGCCAGCAGTGGAACAGACACCCCGTTTTTCTACCCACGCCCCTGAGCCTGTGAGTGGAAATGGTGAAGGTGGGAAGAGGCACTCATTCCTGCCTTTGGTGACACTCTCCTCATATCTTTGATGACGCTCTCCTCTGCTGGAAACTTTCCCTGTACTGTGACTAATTGGATTTGAATGTGAAATGTCCCCACCAGGGCTCATATTTAATGCTTGGTCCCATTGATGGTACTTTTTGTTTGTTTGGTTGGTTGTTTGGTTGGTTGGTGTTTTAAGACAGGGTTTCTTTGTGTAGCTTTGGAGCCTGTCCTAGAACTCCCTCTATAGACCAGGCTGGCCTCGAACTCACAGAGATCTACCTACTTCTGCCTCCCAAATGCTGGGATTAAAGGTGTGTGCCACCACTTCCTGGCTGACGGTACTTTTTTAAAAGATGGTAGGAATATTAAGAGGCCAGACTTCAGGGTCTGGGAAAGGGCTGTCTGTGGGCGCCATGTCGGGCCGTGAAGGTGGCAAAAAGAAGCCCCTGAAACAGCCCAAGAAGCAGGCCAAAGAGATGGACGAGGAAGATAAGGCTTTCAAGCAGAAACAAAAGGAGGAGCAGAAGAAACTGGAGGAGCTGAAAGCCAAGGCCTCGGGGAAGGGGCCCCTGGGCACAGCTGGAATTAAGAAATCTGGCAAAAAGTAAGCTGTTCCTCATACCTGAGATGATGGTGACCCTCTTCCCTTCCTATTTAAACATCTCATACCTGAGATGATGGTGACCCTCTTCCCTTCCTATTTAAACATCTCATACCTGAGATGATGGTGACCCTCTTCCATTCCTCTTTAAACATCTCATACCTGAGATGATGGTGACCCTCTTCCCTTCCTCTTTAAACATCTCATACCTGAGATGATGGTGACCCTCTTCCCTTCCCATTTAAACATCTCATACCTGAGATGATGGTGACCCTCTTCCCTTCCTCTTTAAACATCTCATACCTGAGATGATGGTGACCCTCTTCCCTTCCTATTTAAACATCTCATACCTGAGATGATGGTGACCCTCTTCCCTTCCCATTTAAACATCTCATACCTGAGATGATGGTGACCCTCTTCCCTTCCTATTTAAACATCTCATACCTGAGATGATGGTGACCCTCTTCCCTTCCTATTTAAACATCTCATACCTGAGATGATGGTGATCCTCTTCCATTCCTCTTTAAACATCTCATACCTGAGATGATGGTGACCCTCTTCCCTTCCTATTTAAACATCTCATACCTGAGATGATGGTGACCCTCTTCCCTTCCTCTTTAAACATCTCATACCTGAGATGATGGTGACCCTCTTCCCTTCCTCTTTAAACATCTCATACCTGAGATGATGGTGACCCTCTTCCCTTCCTCTTTAAACATCTCATACCTGAGATGATGGTGACCCTCTTCCCTTCCTCTTTAAACATCTCATACCTGAGATGATGGTGACCCTCTTCCCTTCCTCTTTAAACATCTCATACCTGAGATGATGGTGACCCTCTTCCCTTCCTCTTTAAACATCTCATACCTGAGATGATGGTGACCCTCTTCCCTTCCTATTTAAACATCTCATACCTGAGATGATGGTGACCCTCTTCCCTTCCTCTTTAAACATCTCATACCTGAGATGATGGTGACCCTCTTCCCTTCCTCTTTAAACATCTCATACCTGAGATGATGGTGACCCTCTTCCCTTCCTCTTTAAACATCTCATACCTGAGATGATGGTGACCCTCTTCCCTTCCTATTTAAACATCTCATACCTGAGATGATGGTGACCCTCTTCCATTCCTCTTTAAACATCTCATACCTGAGATGATGGTGACCCTCTTCCCTTCCTCTTTAAACATCTCATACCTGAGATGATGGTGACCCTCTTCCATTCCTCTTTAAACATCTCATACCTGAGATGATGGTGACCCTCTTCCCTTCCTCTTTAAACATCTCATACCTGAGATGATGGTGACCCTCTTCCCTTCCTCTTTAAACATCTCATACCTGAGATGATGGTGACCCTCTTCCCTTCCTCTTTAAACATCTCATACCTGAGATGATGGTGACCCTCTTCCCTTCCTATTTAAACATCTGGATTCCCTGCCAGAATAACGTCTTTGCCACCTACAGCTAGAATGAAGTGTCATCCTGGAGCCTGTTAAACATCTGGATTCCCTACTATAACATCTTTGCCACCTACAGCTAGAATGAAGTGTTATCTTGGAGCTTGTTGTACATTGTAATAAATAAACTTTTGTAAAAAAAAAAAAAACAAAACAAAACAAAAAAAAGAGGTCAGACTTCAAAGGGGGGAGCTGTTCCTGAGGGCATGCCTGTGAACAGTATCCCTGGTCCTCAGTTCTTCTCTGTTCTCTGTTCCTTGTCTACTATGAGGTTAAGAAAAACCTTCCCACTACATATTCCAAGCAACGTAATGTCCACCCAAGCACATGGAACCAAGAGACCATGGACTGGACCCTCTGCAAAGGTGCATCAAAACAACCACACACACCACCTTAAACTGTTTTCTTGGGTATTCTGGTCACAACAATAAAAAGTAATTAGCACAATAACCTTCAAATATAGACAAAATTTTAGAGCCAAAGCAGGCTGAAGTTCACATGCAACAGATGAGAAAACTAAAAAGGCCCATTTCTTAAAACACAAAAACGAAACTTATTACACTTATGGTTATGTGCCATCTTCCCAGCTTCAAAGTCTCCTTCTGGCCCTCTCTCCCTCCTGCACCTCTCCCCTCTTCCTTTCTCCCTCTCTCTCAATGGCACTAGGATATAACATCTGTTCAGCAAATGTCCCATCCCCTAACTACATCCTCAACCATACATACATATATGCCTTTTCATTTTCAACCAGAGTCTCAATAAGTTTCTAAGCAGGCTTTGAACTCATGGTCCTCCTGCTTCAGCCTACTGAGTATCACAGGCCTGTGCCACCAGATCCAGTAGAAACAGCCGTTAAATGACTCAACTACTAGTTCATTGAATGGGCATAAGCAGACTCAAGGTCTCCTTCCTAGGCTAGTCTTCCTTTGTTATAATCTATCCTTTTCACTGTATGGCCAAAGATCATTTGTCCAACTAACCTGTAATACTGCATGGCCAGGATTAGGTGGGCATCTGAAACAATGAGATTCTTCTAGAGTAGAAAAAAAAATATATATATATATATATATCTGAACTTTCCAAAATAAGAAGAAAAAGGAGAAAAGAGAAGGGAGGTGGAAGGGAAGGAGGGATGGAGGGAGGGAGGGAGGGAGGGAGGGAGAGAGGGAGAGAGAGAGAGAGAGAGAGAGAGAGAGAGAGAGAGAGACTCTAAGAGGGGCCTACACATCAGCTTCACACATCTATGATGTATCAGGTGCCAGGAAAGGAAGAAATGAATGAGACACCTCCTCTTGGAGGTGCTTCTCAATTAAACTCTATTTCATCAAAATGGATAAACAGAGAAGAAAACTCAGACCATAAGTGAACATGGAATAAACACAGATAACAAGGAGACAAGATTAAATATTTAGATTATATATTGGCCAGGGGTTAAGTGGATTAGTGGAGAGATGACTTGGGCAGAGTTATGGGATTTCCATGTTTAGACAGAGTGGATTAAGTTTTGCAGCCTATGAAATGCCAAGCTGAAACTGCTGTCGTCAGCACTGATACCCCACATTCATCATTAGGGGTGCCTTTCTGTCAAAGGGCAGAAAGAACAGGACCTCGATGTCTCACTCATCTTTATGACATCCTGGTGAGTCAGATATCTAGGCCTGTAATTCTCAGACTTCTGATGAGGAAACAAATGCAGGGCAGGGAGTGGAGGTCAAGAGCCACTAAAATCTGGTCCTGGCTCCTCTTCCACGCCAGTCAGAATGACTCCCTGGAGCACTTGGGCAATCCAAACAGGCACCAACATGGCGAGTCATTGTACCACAACCCTTTTGATCTCCTCTCAAAGGCAGAGAAATTGTGAGTTACCTCATCATTATTTCCCTCAAGTGCACATCTCAGATTCTGTCTAGAGCATAAGTTTCCCCAGGGCAGAGACCAGCTTCATGTCCCCACTCACTCTGCCAGAAGCTCTGAAGATAGACACATGTTCCCTCCTTTGGTTTAGAAACCAGAGGCTGGGGAGAAGGGCAGCTGGCTACCTTGGTAACCAGATGTGGTTCTCACTGTCCACGGACTTCCTGCCCTGCCTACATACCTCCCCCAGGAAGCTTCTGGAACAAGTCTCTGCGAGGACAGTGATTCATGTAGATGCCCCTGAGATCATCTGCTTGATGGTATCCCAGGAACAAAGGGGGGCATTCACCAGGACCCGTGAGAAGGGACTGGACACCTCTACCTTTGCTGTTCTCGAGAGGAGGATGCCATGGTCACAGTTTTGTGGGACTCCCACAGATGACACCTGAGGGAATAATGAAAGACACAAGCTTGCTTCCGGGTCCAAACTTGGCCTTGCTCCTTCCTGTAACTTCTCCCAAGTATAACACTCAGTTAGCACACAGTGCATTACAAAGCTTAAAAAAATGTTTTTTTAAGAAGTTATTACACATATTCATCTTCATAGTGCCACTGGGTATTTTGTCTGTTTTCTAGGCCTCTACTGTAGGTGGGGGCTGATTTACAAAGCTTCTAAGAGTGAAATACAGCTCTCATGGAGTGAAAGGAAGGTAATATAAAGTGCGGGTTTGGGCTGGAACGTTGGCTCAGTGGTTAAGAGCACTGGCTGTTCTTCCAAAGGACCTGGGTTCAATTCCCAGCACCCACATGACAACTCACAACTGTCTATAACTCCACTTCCAGGGAATCTGATGCCCTCACACAGGCAAATAAAATAAACAAAATTTAAAACAGAAAAAGAAGGAGTTAAGAGTGGGCTGGTTTAACCCACAGAAACAGTTGACCTGAACAAGGCAGAGCTCTTGGACTCCAGATTGATGGCTGTGTGGAAAGCATAGGACTGGCCCAGACCCGCTGAATGTGGGTGTCAGTGAGGAGGCCTAGGTAATCTATGGGGCCTTGGGTAGTATTTATCCCTGGCGTACAAATAGACTTTGAGTGCCCATGCTACAATATGGGAGGCTCTCTCAGCTGGGACTCTTGGGGGAGTGCTGAGGCTGTAACCTTCATTTAGTCTTTGCAATGCATATTCCTGTACCATGTGGTACATAATATGTGAAAAAAACTTTTACTCATTAAGTAAACATATGAATGAACCAATAAATTAAATTTACATTGTATAATAACAATAAAAAAGAAATGGGATACTCTAATGAAATACTTTCTGTTGTTTTGTTTTGTTGGGATAAACTCTCACTCTGTAGCCCCAGAAGGGCTCAAAACCATGGTGATCGTACCATCTAAGCCTCCCAGGTACTGGAATTATAGTCAAGAGCTGTTGTGTCTGGCTTTGCTTTGCTGTTTTTAGACAGAGTCTCATCATGTAGCACATGCTGGTCTTGAACTCCATATGTAACTGAGGTTCCCAAACTCTTGATCCTCCTTCCTCTACCTCCTCGATGTAAGGATTACAGGAATGTAACACAATGCCAGGCTGTAATGCAATCATTGATAAACTGGAGACAAGTTGAGACATTAAGTAAACTACCTGTCAATCTAAATATTTGTCTCTTAGCGTGTACAAAGAAAACTGTCTCAGTCTCAAAAGTGTGTCCCACTAAGCATAGTCCTTCATAATTACAGTCTT